CCCCAAAACCCCAAAACCCCAAAACCCCAAAACCCCTTTTGAAGGAATTAGGATTGAATTTTAAGGAATTTTAGTAATGAATCTGCCTTTTTTTGTAGTTCCCGATGCCGCTGGGTTTAGGATAGTGGGTTTTTATGCGCTTAGCGAGGATTTTGGAATGTGAGCTTGAGAAAGAAGCTTTGGAATGACAAGAGCTGAGTTTTGTCTCGTCGATGAGGGTGTTTAGAGATTCTTTAGCATGTTTGAAGGAGGGATTAGTGCTGGATTTGGTACTTTCTTGTAAGTTGATGTTCCTGACAGCGTAAATATACGGCTTGGAGTCTGTAAATAAGGATTTATCTCTACCTTTAGAGGATTGAATCTTTGTCAAAGGATTATTTCGTTTGCTAATATAAGATATCTTCTTCCTTGATGCAGCATTTCTCTGTTTCTAAAATTTAAATATTCAAGGTACCTTAGAATGCGAGGATGAGGTAAAATTATCTAACAGTTTGGTACCTAAATCTTACTGATTTCGCTTACTATTGGAGCCATTTAAAGCGCTCTTTCTTTGTAGCACTTCAAATCTGGGTTTAGACCTTGCCTCATGATTTCTAGATGAAGTATACCTCCCGTATTTGCTGTCGATATTTTGATTTATGAACGAAGATGAATGGTTGCTAATATTTTCACCTATCTTGTCACAGAGGAAATGACTCTTCTCGCTTCTCATATTTAGCCTCGAAGCAAAGCTGTGGCTATCTTCTTGATGCTTAAAGTTCATTCTGTTGAGTTTGGCAATACTGGCTTGCTCCGAGTAAGTAGAATATTTCATCATGTTATTTCTACTCTTATCAAGTTTTTCATTTTCTCTAGGAGATAGATCAGAGTCAATCTTATTTTCTTGGTTGAGATTGGCAGGCCTCAAAGTAGATGTAAGGAAGGAATCTTTCCTTCTATAATCACCCGGTCTCTCAGCTGAAGAGTGAGAGACTTTTAAGCCTATCATTGGAGTTTTGCTACCTCTTCGGTTATTGATTGTTCGTAATGGGACATATGAGCCAACTTCTGAGTTCTTAAGCTTCTTTATCTTAGCTTTGTCATGAGTTAATTGCTTATTCAAGTGAATAGGGCTCTATGTATTAAGAATGATAAAAGTACCACAAATGTTTCAGACTTAATTGATGATCAATGGTTAAAAGGACTATTCTGAGACATCTTGGACTGTATTAGTTCGATCATATTGTTAGATTTGTCAAGACTTTCGAATGATAGCTTCACATTATCAATTTTCTTAGTAGGGTTTGATCCTCTAACCTCACCTCCAAGGGATTTATTTCAACTCTGAGGATGAATATTTGTAGCTTTTTGTTTGACCCCATCTACTTCTGCCATAAATTTCGGATCTTTACTTCTGTTGGTAGTTCCACTAATACTTTAACATATGAAATATTTATGAGTAAGAATAGTTTGAGCTAAGACTGTAAGGATCACATTAATACTTTGCTGTTGAGTTGAGTAGTGCTTTTGAAGGGCAGAAATATTCTTGTGAGATTTACAAATTTTATTCTTTTGACAATTACTCAAGCAAATGACATACAAATTGGCTTGAAACAATATATCTAAGGTTTAGATCTATTCTATCAAGATCCTTTATATTCTTACCGTAAGCTTCTTCTACTTCTTTTTGGAATAAGGGTGCTGCAATATCTGGTTAATGTAGGATGTTGAGTATTTTCAAGACCTCAACACTTTTGATTGTCTAAGGTAATTTCTTGGGTTAATTTTTCTGTTATTTTAAGCTCTAAAATGGTTAGTAAAGTTTAAATGTACCATCTCCTATCTGACTCTTGGTCCTATTATTATTTTTTGCAGCAATAGGAGATGTGTCTCTAGATGAGAACTTTTGCAAGTGTAAATAGCTTATACTTGAGTGATTGATGTGACCCTAAAGCATATACAAGCCAAAGCTTACCGATTTCTGAGGTAATTTTGATGTACCTCTTCTAAGACTACTTTGAAAATCATTCTGGCGAGCATCCTTGCTGCGTTTACCAAGCAAGGATACTTTTTGCTTTTTAAATGTCTTCGACTTTTTAGGCTGTCTTTCTCAAGAGACTTTAGCAGAAGCATACTTCTTCTTAAGGTTTCCATTCTTAGAAGGTTTCCTGAGTGAGTGGAAATTTACCACCGATCTCTCAGCCTTCTGATTGTTAGCGATCTGATGAAGTTTCCTTTGAGGCTTCTTCTGAGTTCTTGTTCCATTAGGGCTGACCTGTTCCTTCTTCTGAGGAGGTTTTATAGAAGTCAGTGCTTTAGGCTCCTTCTGAGTAAAATTTATTGAAGCTTTCTTGTTGTTAAATGAAGAATATGTTTCCATCTTGGAACTGAGGTATGAGGTATAATTTTTGAGCTTCACATCATGATTCTCTTTGTGCTCTTCTACATCATTAAAATATGATTTTTCATCAAAATTATTAAGCTCTATGTGATTAGAAGTAAAGTCTTACTTGTATCAAAACTTTCAAGGAACTCATCGATGAAATTTGATTCGATATCCATGGATTGTGACTCAGATTTATCCATCCAAAAATCTTCTAAATTTCTTTCTCTCTTAGTCTTATGAGCATTTCCCACATGAGGCTTATGGACCTCAGGTTCAGGAGATACATTAGCTCTTTCAGTAATTTCTTCAACAGCTGAGCTAACACAGAGGGGATTATTTTTGGGATCGTTTATCTCAAATACATTACTAGAGATCTGAGAGCTAGTGAATTTACGTTCTCCACTTAGAATATCTTCTTTAAGCAGCTCAAATTGGGTTTCCTTGGTATTCTTACTGGTGTTAAGATCATTAACCTTCTCAGAAATTTTGTACTGGGTTGAAATCAAGCTGCAGTCACAACTCTCTGAAGTCTCAGAAGCAGGTTTATAGAAAGAGTATCCGTTATAGGTTGATTCTTGGAGAGACATGTTGATATTTCCAGACTGTTTCTCTCAATATATCTCTTCAGAGAATACTCTTTGCTCATTCTCGACCTGGCTCTCTCTCATGTTATTTTTAATAACTTTCGGTTGATGTTCTAAATAAAAATTAAAACTGTTATTTACCAGTATTTTTCAAGAAATCATCAATCGGGAAATAGTTCTGTGGATTCTCGCCGATCTGCTTCTTAACGTAATCAGTATCAAAATAAAACTGAGTATCATCAGGAATAAAAGGAGGGACATATCTTCTTTCAACAAGTGCTTCAAAGTCTACAGTCTCACAAAATGGGTGAAATTTTATCACTCCAATTCCATCTATGGTACCAAGCCTCTCTAGAGGATTCCTTTTAAGCAACTTTTGGAGTAAATCTTTTGCTTTCTCACTAAGATAATCAGGATACGGTATGTCTTCGTGACATATGTTATAAAATAGCTCATCTCTATCTTGGGAGTAGTGAGGAGGAAGTCCTGTCAAGAATTCATAAAGAAGAGCTCCTAATGAATAAATATCCATGGCAAAACCATGGCCAACCTCCTCAAGCATTTCAGGGCTCATGTACTCTGGACTTCCTCAAAAGGAGTGGGACAGAGTCTTTCTGCTAAAATTGGTCTTACTTAAGCCAAAGTCAGTCAGGACAACATGTCCTTCAGCATCTAACAATATATTTTCAGGTTTGAGGTCTCTGTAGATAATTCCATTGTTGTGAAGATATTCAAGGGCAAGGAGAACTTCAGAGAAATAAAATTTAGCTATTTCCTCATCTAACCTTCCATTCCTACTCAAGTGGTAGAAGAACTCCCCACCTGAGCAGTAGTCGAGGACCATGTGCAGGTAATCTTTCTGTAGCATTAAAATTTTAAAATTACTGATTTGAATGCCCAATGGAGGTTGATAATGAAAGGATGATCTACCATCTTCAATATGTTCCTCTCTGCCATGATCTGTTTGATTTTAGACTTATTTTTCTATCATTGACTTTTGAATTATCTTCATAGCATACAGCTTTTTAGTATCTTTCTTCATGACTATGAGTAAGAGTACGGTGAGCTACCTTCTATTACTGTGGAAAATCCTCCGATGCCGATTCACCTTCTCACTTCAAAATCTTCAAGAACGAGCTTATCGCTCTTGATAATCTTCTTTCGTCTAGAATGAGAGATGAGGGCTTGCCTTATTGAATGTTTAGTTTCAGAATCCTTCTCTTCAGACAGATCAATATAAACGCTCTCTACAGGGCATGCTTTCTGTACCTAAAGGCATATGTTAAGGAAATATATCAAAATTAGGAAAATAATGTATCTGTTAAAATAATTAAGATATGGAGATCCTAGAAATCTTAGTATTTCTACAGCTACTCTTGCCAAGAGAATCCAGATCATGTAGTTCTGTATGAACTATCTTCAGACTAATAGACCTAGCGATAATACTTACAGAGAAAGATGCTAGGATTTTGAAGTTTTAATAGTTGAAAAATGGAATTTAATATCAGCTCTATGAGAAATCAGCAGAAAATTTACACTATAAATGGTTTCAGTAGTACGTTTGAGCAAATCAATAATAATTAAGTTATGAAGGATTTAAGAACTTAATATAGCAATCCAGACTTTCTGGAGATGAGGTGAATGCATTTCTTAATATCTGCTGAATAAATTGTGCTTATAAATTAGGGCTAGAAGGGAAGATCAGTTGTGCTGAAATACAGAGGATGAAAGACATAGTTCAAGATATTTTAAATTACTTTAAATCTAGAAGTATTTGCAGGTAGGCTCCCAAAAATGCCATAAAAATTGAGCCAGTCTAGCAACAACTACTTCTAGACTTAAAGAAACTTTAAAATACTTGAACTATGTCTTTCATCCTTTTCATTGCTGTATGGCTGACTTTCCCTATCTAGCCCTAATTCATAAGCTCAATTATTCGACTGAAATTTTCTAAAATGAATTCACGATATCTCCATAGAGCCTGGATTGTTATATGTAGCTCTTAAAACCGTCCTGACACAATCATTTTGATTTGCTCAAATTTCATACTTAAACTATTTCTTTTGTATATAAACTATCAGACATTGGAGATATTCCTAAAAGCTCTCGTTTTACAAATATGCTCACTACTTCTGATAGATTCAGTACCATAGAATTTATTGGTGGCAATTTAGTTGAATGAGAATGCAAAGAAGGGATAAAATCTAAAATTAATTCATAAGTCCTGAGTCTCTTATAAATTCTTGCTTACTTGTTGTGCAGATTCCTTATGGAAAGGCCTCTGTGGGGATCTGTGGTGTTGACTTGCTTGATTATATGCATTCTCCATCCTTTCTCCAAGGTTTATCTTGACTTGCTCAAGCACAGACTTTGGTCTGATCTCAAGTGATTGGCTAGACCCCATTTAGAATTTGGAATTGTTTCAATATTTAATTTCATATTTGGGGTTTTGGGGTTTTGGGGTTTTGGGG